ATTTGCACATGGAGTGATAGTTGCTGAAGAATTCCTACTGTTATCAATATCATTTTGGGTAGGAAAAAAAGGGGAAAAAAGAAAGGCACTTTATCATAGGTGCTGAAAACCAGAAAAGTTATTTTAGAGAAAAAGCTTATTTCCAGGCAATTCCCACTGAGAGCAGATGTTGAAACCCAGGAATTGTGTTCTGCCTCTACAGTTAACCTGGTTGTTTACTTGGCCAATTGCTCCCTGAGCATCATTGGAAACCAATGATGCAGCGTGGGGTTGGTTTTGAGTCAGAAGATCTGGTCTTTTTCATTTCCTTTGTTGCTTATTAACGAGCCAGGGGGCTCTTTTAATTGGTTTATCTCCCTGCGTTTGAAGCTGCCCCACTGACCAAACAAGTTTTAGAGGCAGCTTAAATGAGAAAATACTTGGAATGGAATTATATCGCACAACATACCTAACTCAGAAGAATTGTGTGATATTAACACAATGTCACACAACTTGAGAGAATTAATATTATGGAGAAAAACGTCTTGGTTGAAAAAACTTACTTTAAAATGAATAAATCCTATAATTGTTTTCAAAACTCCCCCAAAATCTTTGTGAAAATGGTTTAATTTTTGTGATCTGAAAGTTAAGGAAGCTGCAGGAATGAGTGAGAAGAAGAGAGAAAAGGAGAAAGGGAGGAAGGGTAGAGAGAGCACATGTGAGACAGCAGGAGCAGGAGCCCAGGGGAAGTCTGTGAGTTCCCACATGAGGGTGTTGACGGACACCTGTCTGGAAGGCAGACTGGCAGGTGTACCATTGTTTGCTGGTGGTGTTATCCTCCATCTCTGGCTGAGGTCACCCACTCTGTCCTTGGGGATCTGACAAGTAAAGCTTTGAGATCTATGGGCAGAGCCTGTATGTTTGGTTTAAAAACCACATGCTCTAGCATCTGGAACAATTATTTTCAAAGTTTTCACTAATTTCTACTTCTCCAGTGTGATGTTAGTCATATCTGATCCCAGAAGCTAAAGTGACTAACTCATTCCAGTTTGCCCAGGACTAGTTTAGTCCTGAAAGCCCCAGGCCTGGGAATCCTTCTAGTTTTAGGCAAGCTGAGACAATTGGTAGCATGCCAGGAACTAGAGTAAGCGCTGGGATGCCATGATAAGTGCTTCAGAATAAATGATTCCTGTTCGAAAATGTAATTTCCAGAATGATATATAAATTTACACTCACTGAAATGTATAGAATAAGGTTACCCCTGAAAACAGATTGAGGTTTGAGAAAATAGTGGCTTTCAATATATCAGCTAAATCCAAATGAAGAAGGGAGATTTGTCTACATTTGAACATGTTGTCCTTCAACAATATAGTCTGCATCCAACTGTCACTCATTTGCTTATATTGATATTGATTAGTACAAACCTAGCTACCCAAGCCCTAAATGACACAGTTTAGTAGAAATAAGAAAACCCATGACTACTAACTTACTTTCCTCAGTTTTGATGCTAAGAGCAATCATTCGGTCATCCAGTCATTCAGGAAAAAAAGTATGAAATGTACACATTGTGTCTGCCACCAGCAAGGTGCTGGCACCAGGGAGACGCTGGTTAGTACACAGTGTCACAGCTGGAGGAAGTGTTCTAATGGAGGCACACACAAGATGCTCTGGAAATATATTTGTCCTTAAGATTAACTGTGGTGATTCTGCCAGGAAGAAATTAATATAGGAAATAGAAATAAATATAGGACAGATTTCATACACACACGTAAGCGAGTGCATGCACGCACACACACACATAATTTTAAGCTATTACTCAAGACAACTTACCCAACAGTCTACAAATAGCTGTAGAAAACCCGCTCCTTGAAAAATATTATGCAAGGCATAAATGAGATTGAAAAATATTTCAGTGTATGGTGATCCTTAGAAATCACGTTTTGGATGTTGACTTCCTGAAACTGTTTCAAGGATTAGAAAAATTTGAGTTTATTTAGTTTATTTTAATTACTCTGAACTGGCTACAGAAGCTGTGATCTTTTGTACAAAATATATGCAAATGCATATTTTGAGCCCTAAATCTGCCAAATGCATTTTGAAAACAGAAATTTTAGAGTGTTAGATATGTGATAAGTTACATATACCATATATTACGTTTCTATGGTTTTAAGGTAGTGATCCATGATAAGAGATATTAATAATTTCATTGGTGTGTGTATGCATGTTTATATTAACATAAGTAGTCTTGGTATATTCAGGCCAGGTTTTGATGAAGAATGAATCATAAGAAAATTTTGAAATTTAGGAGGTTTTGAATTTTTCTGACTTGAAATAAAGTTGTGGGCATGTACTTGAGAACACATCAAATACAAAGGTATCAAGTATTAAATATTATCATGATGATTCAGTATTTTGTACACATACACACATACACACACACCTTGATACTTCTTGCTTAACTTGTTCAGACCTCACAGAGAAGATGATGTCAAGAATCATTCTGCAGAATATGTGTTTAGTTATCTGGGGAGGGCAGATTCAGATTGAAAACCATTAATTTTGATGAATTAACTGTTAATTTTAAGTTGTATAAGGGAGGTAGATTCAGTATCGAGCTAATCTTTTTACAATTAGAATAAAAACATAAAATATAAAATTAATATAAAAACAAGCTGTATATTGGCTATCATGGTTTCTTAAAAATATGTTTTTAAATCAAAGGATATAATCTACCCTATTTTGTTTTCAATTTTTCTTTTTAGAATAATATACTTTGCCAAAGAAATTTGAGTGTTATGGTACATGTACACACAAAGATTTAATATACAGCCTGGAAACTGCTCTCTTCCCATATAACCTCATTACTTGGCATCCACTCAAGAAATAAAAGAGAGAGAACTTTTACACTTCATTCCACTGCTGCACTGTGGTTTAACTGTTGGTTTTAAAAGAGATGTTGGCCCTGAATTTTAACCTTGTTGAAACCAGCGCCCTGAGACATATGCTGAAGATCACATGCTCGGTGAGGGTGGAAGTCAACACAACCTGGTTTTCTGACTTTAATTCAAGACGGATTCCACTAATCTCATATTACTACCTTTGGTTGCCTTTATATAGAATATGAACTGGGTTCAGATTGTTGGAGATGATTAGAAACAGTAGTGTAATATAAATCAAATTTTGGGACTATACATAGGATAGGTTATTAGAGGAAAAGCTATAATATAGATGTGGCATCAAAGTACTTACGTGAAAGATCAGGTCATTTTACTCGGTAAATACTCTATTGTGCATCTCTTCTGCCAGAATATGGGGTACAAGGTATCAATTAATAAAATGGATTTTGAAATCTGTTTTTAGTGTCTCATTTAGAGAAAAGTAAATTATGCTTTAAGCGTCAACATTCAGTTAGATTGCAAACATTTGATATGTTTTCCACTGTCATCAAAAAACAATGTGGCTATAAATCCTGAGAAATTGATAGGTGCAGAAAACTTTGGAATCAAGATTCAATTTCCTTGAGATAAGTGGATAGAAGTTCTCTCACATACAAGTAGTCTGTAATCAATCTATGGCTTTTATTAGCATTTCTAACAGCAGAATGATACTGGATGTCTACTAGGATGGGATGGGCCACATTTCAGCTGTGTTTTCACATGGTGATTTATGACTGAATCAGGTAATGAGGCTTTTAAGAGATGTATTATTTCTATAAGTCCCAATAGAAATAATACCATTAAATTTCATGCAAACTAGCTAAAATCCCCTATCTGATGAAATGTCAGAATAGAGAGGAAAATATTCTCTTGAGATATTGTCACAATACAGGCATGTCTTGAATGAATGTCATTTAGCAAGTATTTATTTCCATCAGATATTTAATCCAAAAAAGCAAAATAGACTTAAAAGTTATTGAACCATTGTGGGGTTAAGTGGCACCTTATCTTGTTATTGATCTTTTCCTTGGAATGACCCTATTCTACATGGTCTGACCACAATGTGCACATCACAGAGGCAAAGAACAAGTACTGCTGTATTGTATTATGGCTAATGGGCCATGTGAGAATTTATGTTTCTTTTTCTTCTCCAAAGCGGTTGGATCAGAATACTCCCCCAACAAAATTAAACCCTGCATAAAATATAAATATGACTTAGGTATTGACCAAAAAATACCCCAAAATCTTGCTAATTTAAAAGTTTGAAAAGAGACATTATTGGCACTGAAAGGGACACTGGCCTTAGTATTAAGGATTTGGTTTGGGGTTCTGCCTTTAAAAACTAGGTATCACCTTATCACACCTTTAGTAAATCAGTCGGTGTCTCTGAAGTTCATCATCTCAGATGAGACAGTAATCCTAGTCATAGTTATTGTAAGGATGAAAGCAACTTGTATGTTGTAATGCCTAAAAATGTAATTTTTACTTGGTTAGTAAACGCCTTCAAGTTGAGTTCTTTTTTTTCCTCGCACCAAAAATAACTTAAGTTCACAATGGAATGTGTTAAATTAATAGCTGGGAATGTGCAATCTCAAAATAGTGATACATGTCTTTTCAGTTTAGAGATGCAACATCTGTTCCTATAATGTCTGTCTTAGGGTATTTAAAAAAAATACACTTTCAATGTCAATTTTAGCAGTTATAGGTTAAAAATAAGCTATCACACTAAACAGAAGTAACTGACAAAAAAAAGCATGATTTCGTCAGCTGGTACAATCCATGTCACTGAAAGATATGCTGCTATCCCTTGTGGGCAGAGCTCTTATTTATTGGTTATTTCCATTTATAACCCAGAGATGTCTAATTCATTCAGATCTTTCATGTCATGAGACTGTTCAATGTTTACTTCAAGTTTGGACTTCGATTTAATTAATAGATTGCTCATTTTCCTTCAAGAGATTATTTTTAGGAGGGCTTTCTTCGAAGGATGGTCTCACCCGAACTGTCAGGTAGATGTGGAGGACAGGTATGCTCAGTACCATAGTAACCTGGCTAGTGGTTTTCTCTCTTGCTTTTTCTTCACAGCAGCACCCCTGAACTCTCTGAAGCCTGCAAGGGTAGACACTGCTCCTGTGGTCTCATCTCCCTATCAAAGAAGAGATTCAGACAGATACTGTGGGCTCTGTGCAGCCTGGTTTAATAATCCCCTGATGGCCCAGCAGCATTATGATGGCAAGAAACACAAAAAGAATGCAGCAAGGGTCGCTTTATTAGAGCAACTTGGGACCACCCTGGATATGGGGGAATTGAGAGGTAAGAGAAACCCTTCTAATTTCTGCCATTGAAATGGACTTTCAAAAAAAGAATTGTTTTTCACAAATTGGGCAAATTCTCTGCTTTAATTATTAAGGATGACTGGTGTCATCCAAAAGGGGTAGAAGGAAAAGGAAGAACAGAGAACTAGCTCAATTTTCATAAGCTCCTTTGTTTCTAATTGTAGGCTATTTCCATTTTTTTTTTTTTTATTGACCATGTTCAGGTCAAAACCACCCATCCAAGAAGCAGGTCTTTTACCTTCTTCTTCATCTTTAAACATCTTCTCTAATGAATGTTTTCGTGGATGAGCAATATGGGAGAAGATGATAAAAAGGCCAAGTTGCATTAGGTTATTTTAAACTTTTGTACTTTCTACAGAATCGGTCTAAACAAAGTAATACATTAATCTACTTAACTGGCTTAAAGCAAGTCCCAGGCTTTTTTTTTTTTTTGATTATTGTTACTGAAATACCATTATTTTATACCCATGCTAGTGTGTTGGCAATATAGGCTTAACCCCCTCAGGTGTTGTCACCACAGCACTCCTGCCACTGAAGCATCCATAGCTTTTCACCATAATCCATTGTGAACCCCTATCCCCTTGTTTTCACTCCTCTCCCTCTCCCCCTCTAAGGCCAAAGATTGTGGTCAGTTTTCAAGTTTATCTGACCCTTTGTTAGGTTTCTCTCTATTCCACATATAAGTGACACCATGTGGTGTTTATCTTATACCTTCTGGCTTATTTCACTTCGTATAAGCCCTTCCAACTCCATCCTTGAAGCTACAAATGGCATGAGTATTTTTGATTGCTGAATAGTATTCCATGGTGTATATATATACACTACATCTTTTGATACACTCGTCTGTTTTTGGGCCCTTAGGTTGTTTCCATGTCTTGGGGAATTGAGGTGAGATGGTGCTGTGTGTAACTGTGCAGTTAATCCCTGGCTCCCCTGGCCCCACCCCTGTCAGTTATTTTCTCCACTGATGGAAAACTTGCATGCTTTGAGTCATGTGAGTTTTCACAGAAGTTGCTGAGCAGAAACTTGGAAACCATAGGGTGAGGGGCAGCTCTGTGGGTTCCTTGGGAAACTATCTACCAATGTGTAGAGCATAATGGAATATTTCATCATCAACTGTTATTTAGGTATTTTTTGATCACATCCACATTTTTGATAAATTTGATGGTGGCTCTGTAAAAGTGAAACAATGTCACAGGCTGTATTTTTCTGAGAGAGGCATTTTATTTCAGAAAAATAGCTCTTCAAAGGATGCTATTGATATATACCTCAGATGCTGTATGGTCTGTTCAGGAAATCATCATTCATAATAGCTACAATAACAAAATTTTACAAATCAATTTTTGAGAATGCGACTTGGGTTTAAACTGGGTTCTGCATGTACAATTCTTATTGTACAAGAATAACAAATTTTATTATCCTAACCTGGCTGTGAGCCTCCAAGAGGATAAATGACCTAGTGCAATTCCAGACCAAATAAGCAGAATACCCTGCTTTGTGAACTGAGAAGAGGGACAGGCCAGTTCTGATTGTGGTATTTGGGGAAGACCACCAAGAAAAGAGACTTGAATTGGAAGTAGAAACATGATTAGCACTTCAGCAGGTAAAAAGGCATTCTGGGTCATCAGAACCATCCATTCATCCATCCACCCATCCATCCATCCATCCATCCATCCATACATACATATATATAGGGTTTTATATATATATATATATATATAAAAATCATATACTATAGCTAGATAGACAGATAGATAGATACTCAGAGAGGCAGGGAAATACATGCTGTAGCAAATCAACACATTATCATAAAAGAGTCCTATAATGTAGTACAAATTTCAGATTGGAGGTCAATTAATACATCCATAGAGATTTATTAAAGATTGTTTTATCCAAGATACTTGATTTAAATAAAGGCAAATAATATTAGATAGAATGTATTTTGTCTATGTTTTCTAGTATAAAAATATGGGATTTAATATTTCAACATGTTAGATAATCTTATTCCAAAGACTTTTGAATCATTGGATGGAACTATTGCTTTTTGGATTTCTTATGTTTTCAGTCGATTGTCTTGTTAAAAAATACAAGAACAGTCTCTCCATAGCTAAAGATCTACTCGAAACTTGCTGTTACTGTCAGATAACAAGTTGTCTTAGTGACTCCTTCACAGCAGGGCACCGAAGGAGAAAAATAAGGGTTTATTTATGTTGTGTGCTAGCTATTATGACTTGTAGAAGAATTATTCCTAGAGCACATTCTTCTTGTCTATTTTGAATTATCAGTGTTGCATCTTTTATGTACAACTACATTTTAATGACTTGGGAGTCTGAATTCTGTACCATTTGAGCAGCCTGTCTTTTATGCAGAAGACAAAAAGGGCTGTTCTTTGACTTGCTAACTCAACGTGACTATGACTCAGTAGCACATGAAATGTGATTAGCATTGAACACAATGTCCTTGAAACCAACCTTTTCACCCACCCCAGGTGACATCTTGATATCTATTTATTCAGGAATTAAAGATCATAAAAGCTTGAGGAATAAAGTAATGATGACAACCCAGCATATTTTAACACACACACACATACACACACACACACACACACAAACACACACACACTTCTCTATTTCTGAAATGCTTATAGTGCACTATCAATCATTAATAAAGAAAAAATGCTCATCAGGCACATTTATAATGCAGGCATACCTATTACTTAAAAAAATGGCATCAAGCAGCTGGAGCACAATATGGCAGCATTACAGGCTTTCTCTCTTAGCACTGCTCAGTTTTTAAGCACTCCACATTTACTTAGTTATAATGGGTTTCTTGATTTTCTGTCTTTCACTCTACCTCACCTCCCATGTATTGTTAGTGCCTTTAAAGCAGACGTCTATGTCTCTTTTGTTCATTGATGTGTTCAAAACACCTAGAACAGTGACAGACACGTAATAGTAGTTTCTGAACAAATGAATAGAGAAATCAAAATTAAAAAATGAACTAAAATGCTATATTCTTAACATAGCAGTCATTTTCATTTCTAAAAGTTTCTTTTAGAATAATTTTCATAAGAAATTATGATCTTTTTCATCTAATTTTTGAAAAATGATATATAGTTAACATGTTATGAAATGTAGAGGTTGTGCACAGTATAGTTAATGCAAATGCCTGTATGACCCACATCACTATGAAGATACATAACTTCTCCAACAGACAAACCCTCCGTGTCTCTCCCAAGTCAATCCCAACTCCCACCCCAGGGAAGCACTATTTTTTGTATTTCACCATTGATTAGTTCTTATAATTCTAAAACTTCATGTGAATGGAATAGAAAATATGTGGGATTTTGTGTGTGTCTAGCGTCTTTTGGATAGCATGTATTTTGTATTAATTTGTTGGAGAGTAATAGTAGTAATACTACTATTGCTGAGTAGTATTCTACTATACAAAAATTCCATAATTTGTCTAGTCATTCTTCTTTTGATTTTTGCAGGTCTGTTTTGAATAAAGCTTTCATAAATTTATTTTTGTCAGCATATGTTTTACTTCTCTTGGTAAATACCTAGGAGTAGAATTTCCAGGTCAAAGTGATATGTGTTTTTAAGTATATAAGAAACTGCCAATTTTTCCCTCAAAGTAGTGGCTTATTTTATATTCCTCAAAAATATAAATTCTATATCCTCACCAAAATTTTTTTCAGTCTTTTAAATCTTTAACCATTCTTGTGTAGGAGTATATTTCATGATGGATTTAATTTTCTTATCCATGTTGACTGATGTTGACACCTTTATTTTAAATGTGCTTCTCAGTTAATGATCCTTTTTGAAGTTATCTGTTCATGTTTTTTGCCGATTATTAAATTTGATTGTCTTTCTATTATTGAGTGGTAAGTAGGAAGCTTTCAAATAATAATAATAATACAAATTAGTTATCAGAGACATGCTTTCTGACTGTTTATCCTAATCTGTGATTTGGCTACTCCTTTCTTAAATAATTTCTGGTAAGTAGACATTATTAAATTGGAGGTGTAATTTATCTTACTTTTTTCTTTTATAATCATTGCTTTTTATGTCCCATCTAAAAAATTCTTTACTATACCATGAGTAAAGATAATCTTGAATTTTTTTCTTCTTTAAATTTCATTGTTTTAACTTTTGCATGTAGGATTATAACATCTCAAATTAATTTCTGCTTATGGTATAAGGTAGGAGCTGAAATCCATTTTGTTTTTATACATCTATCCACTTACAGAAAATTTGTTGAAAATGTTTTCTTCATTTAATTTTCTTGGCACACATTTACCAAAAATTCACTGATAATGTGATTCTATTTCTGTACAATCTATTGTGTTTTACTGTTTTCTCTTTTTTTTAAATGAACTTTTATGATTTCCCATTGGTTTATAACACCCTATAAATTCTGGGAGTACAGCTTCATAATTCTATGTGTATATATGCTTCACTACCCAAACTCCTGGTACTGCCCCCACCATTGATTTCTTTGTTTTCATGTCAGTATAGCATTGTACTGATTTTTCTTCATTACTGGAATCTTGAAATCATCTATTACATGTTCCCCAGCTTTGTTCTTTCTAAAGATGTTTGACTGTTGTAAATTATTTCTATATAAACATGATACAGAATTTACGTAAATTCTAGGAAAAATTATGACTGTGGTTCATATAACTTTGAGAACTATTGATTTCATATTCTTTGGATAGATATTATAAGAGGGATTGCTTCATCCTGTGGTAGTTCTAGTCTAAGTTTTGTGAGGAACCTTTTACACTGTTTTCCAAAATGGTTGCACCAATTCACTTTCCCACCAATAGTATCCAAGGGTTCCTTTTTCGCTACACCATTGCCAACACTTGTTAGTGGTCTTTTTGATGTAAGGTGTTCTCACAGGTGTGATATGATATCTTATGGCTTTGATTTGCATTTTTTCTAATAAAAAATGATTAATGTACATGTTGAC